GCATTGAGTATCCCGGTGATTCCAACATACGACAAAAGCTGAGAGCATATGTGTATATATAACAGGCAGCCTACCTATATCAAAAAGTAACCAAGAACAACCTACAACACGAACACTTAAGCATCCTCTGATGGTTGAAATCTGACAAGTAAGCTCAATACAGTAGTGGCTCCTATTCATTTAGTGGGGTTAGGCTATCTTATTGAGAAGGAGAAACAATTGGTAAAAATTGATTGAAGAAGTGAAAGGATGGCAAGTCAGGGGGGTATGTTAAATACCTTTCTAAAGGACCGGTAATCAACCCGGGCCCATTAAGGTCAGCGTTGATGCCGCGGTACCCGCGAGTAACTGGTCGCGGTTTATGCGGGATCCCAGAATTAGATACAAAAAGCAAAGAAACGTCGGACACTTGAGCAACGGAAAGGAGTAATCTGAATCGCCTTCGGGGCAAGAAAAGTAAGCCAAAGGAAGGAAAAATTACAGGAACACCGGTAGTTAAATTAATCCCCAGTTTGCACATCAAGTGCATGTTCGGAAGTGATAATTCTTCTTACTTCTAGCCCTCTTCCTCCTCAGTTACCAGTGAAAATCTGCACAACGTCATAAAGCTTGAAACCAACGAGAGTAACGAAATTATCATGGAAGATGTCAGAAGGCTGTAAGGTAAGACCTCGGGTACGATCATAGGCGCCGAATTTCAATGATCCTGGTGCGGGATTTGAACTGTCCGGGCTCCAGTACATACGGGCCCTCTCTGTAGCCAGATCGTAGAAAATGTGAAGAATGATAGTCACTCCACGGACAGAAATGCGATATTTTGATCCAGTATCTGCCATCAGCTTGATGTTCACAGAACGACGGGCAAGCTCGTGAGTGGGACCAGCAGAGTCCCTTTGCATGATGGAGGATGCATTGACGGATGCCTCTGAAATATCAATGACGTCAACGGTTGCGGAGCGTTGCACTATGGCGTCGGCCTCAGGAATTTCAGTTCCAGCCTCATTGATGACAGAGGTGAGGCCACTTTCGGAGGCAGGAAGGGCTGTTGCTCCAAGGAAGTTGATGGCCTGCAGGGCAGAAATCGCGAGATGGGTAAAACGCATGTTGAATAGTGGATATTCTGTCAAGAGAGAGAAGAGACACAGAGATGATATACGAGACGGTATGTGAGTTGGCTGTCAAGCAGAGACCGTTGTATTCAGAAAACGTAGGGCAACTTGATGATTTATATAGCCAACATCTGAAGCACCTTAATTCTATCTCGATGAGTCACATTGATGTAGGAAAACTGCTGAAGCTCCAGAATTGGAAGAGGTTCATC